ACTATCACGCCTTGGTTTGAAAACGATGTGCTTTTTAAATCATGGGAATAAATTCAACTTTGCAGCAGGTGAACCATCCAGACACATTTTCTTTCGCTGTACCATGCCAGTCCGATAAGGTTCAAAAACGTTGCCGCGTAAGCCCACTGACAGATGGTTATTCAACCTTTTAGAAGCAACACAGAAATCTACCAGTAGCAGAAAATGGTGTTATTCCAGTGAGTAAGACGTGCTTTAAACCTCAGCGTACCGATGGTCAAGTCAATTGGTGATGTACTTTAAAAAGCAGCACACGTTTGTGCCTACCAGTACACTGCCAACGGACCGTTTGACCAGCCAAAATAGGAAAATGTAAGATGGTTTATTTAACCAGTTTCCGTGGCTCAAATGTCCAGTGGTATTAGCTGAATGTTCTCTCCTTACATCTCACCGCACTGAGCATCAGCAGCACCAGAGACAGCAAAATCGATGTTGACACCGATGCTTCACTGGCATGTAACCATAATGATTATTTAATTGTGGCTAAAGTGAAGGGAAGAGAAAAAATGAATGAAGGAGGGTGGGATCTTTTAAGAAACTAAAGTGCTTTAACCTCTCCAGGTTGAAAGAAACTGATAGCGCAAACGCCATCCACATTGATTAGGCTATCTTCCTCGTTCTTCCCACAGCCAGGAGCATGAAAGCGGTCTTGGGAGCCCCCTGTACTGGAAAGTGTGACGCACCATCATAACCCACACTCTTTGTGATCTATTTCACCCACATTCGTGATATCAAATTTTGGCCATCCCACCGTCTTCGTTGTTCGAAGGTGAAACAGAAAGCACTCGCCTCAGTTGACGTAGTGCTGACATGCGTAGCACTAAGCCGCGTCTGCGGAGTTCATCGCAATGGATGTTTGTTTGCGTGATTGAAGTAATTGCTGCACAACCAAATTACCGTTTCTCGATTACCCGAGTTCGTCGACGGCACCCGCTCCCAAGAGTAGTTTTGAGAAATTGCCGAAGGAAGGCGCTGTTATAACGTCCGTCTAAACAGGCCATGCATCTCAAACATATAATGGTGCGGCACCCAATATCCTGTGGCATGTCTTTTAGGTGCCTAAAGTGAGTCGAGTCTCCAAACAAGCCTCTTAAGCGCAACATTCGTGCATTGATCACCCCGAACACTTTCGTCAGAGCAAGTGCATCTACCGAGATGTGCACAATTTTAAGGAGCACTCCCATATTCTGCACGCCATCAATCAGAATGATGCACTCCGTAATTCCAACTCGCACGTCGAAACATCGTATAAATTAGGGTTCAGTTTGGAGAGTTTCTTGGTGTCTGTGCTAATCATATGGCAGCCGGAATGCAAATGAACACACAGGCAGGGAAAACGTAACAATTACGCGTAAGGCTAGCGAAATACGCTCATTTGCAAACCAATTTCTTTTTCTGAAGTTGTTGAAAAGTTGCTGAAAAATATTTCAAAGCCCAACGTCGGCTTTGACCTTCTAGGAGCCCAACAGGCAGACACCGTGTTTCCATCCAACTGATGTCCTAATTGAAGATATTTTTTACAGAGTTTGCCAACAACTCTATTTTGCACACGAATTGAAATCTGAGACAGGATTAAGCCGAATTCAGCTGAATTACCAAACGGACAGTAGGTCAATGGTTAAAAACATGGGGATATATGTAACACTGCCAAGGGTTGCGGGACAGCCCGATGTCAGTGAGCATACCCAACCAGTAGTGTGGTTGCGACATGCAACAGACCGAAATTGTTGCAGTTCGTTGCTGACGCAAGTAACATACACTTCAGCGCGATGTTCCTTATTCATGCTGAAGCCTTCATCACTTGTTATGTGAACCTGATTGAACTAGTTTGCTAAGATTGTCTTGCGTGTGTTACATTTTGTAGGTTTGGGCGGTGCCTTGTTCTGCAAACTTAAATGTGAGTCGATAATGAACTTGTATTTCGCGGCTAAAAACAGCCAACCGTTGCCACATATTCAGCAATCCCAAGGTGTTTGCACCGCCTGAATGAAGACGAGGTTGGGTACTTTTTGCAAGCGAAACCGATATTAATTAGTCATATGACAATTCGTGAGGTTTGCCTTCCTTAGTCTAGAAGACTCAGCTGGACAAATTGCGGAATACTTCGTAAAGAACAAGCACAGCTGCCCGAAGATCTAACTAGTCGGTAGGTGACTAAACGAGATGGAGTGCAAATTTGTTGACAAACCCAAGAAAAATACTGACTTGGGAATTCCCGTTTCATTACTTTCAAGCTAACCACATTTCTGCCACCGGAATACAGGCGTTCGTCCACATGACTTCCTGTTCTCCCATTCACGCCGGCTACAAGGGTACTTCAAAAAATCAGTTCACATGCAATTATGATAATTCAATAGCCATAGATCATCTGGCGAAACTGAAGCTGAACTCAAAATATCTGTAGGTGAATTCTTCTAAATTGTTCTAGTAGAGGGGGTTCATCCATCCAAAACAGGACACATACGAAATATTTTGAATGAAACTAGTAAGGATCGATTAAAGCTGGTTTACTACATAACGAATAAATTCGGAAACGGTTCTGCTGATCCGTGCGGTGTGACGGTATCGTATATTGCGTCAGACAGATAGGGTTGCGAATACCACTCTCAGGAGGCCACGTTCCTGCGGCTATCGCCAGTGGGTGAACCCACGAAAATGTAGACTCGACTCAGACACATACAAACCGGGCTAAGTCACTAGAGCAAAAATATCAAAATAAGTGCAGGTCTTGCAGGCAAAACAGTCTGGCCGCCAGGAGAATTAACAGATTTCTTCAGATAAGTCATCACATTCTGTAAGTCAGGATTGACCAGGCCCGTTCAACAGGACAGTTACTACGTTTGGTATCACAGCAATAGCTGATTTTTTGGAAAAGACATGAGACATGACCAGCTTAATTCGTTCTTTGATACACAGCGTGACTGTGCGCACATTAATGCATGTGTTCTGTGATAATAAATGAGCAAAATTGTATTACCAACGCATCACCATCATAAATCAAGGTAAATCAAGGTTATATTGGTCTAAAAAGCATTTTGCTTTACAATGACCAAAGGATATTGGTGTGTGTGTGTGTATACAGATAAACGGAATGATATGACATATATGTTCTATTGTTTGTAATCTGC